TGACTACCAGGATGCATTTATGTTTTTTTTTGTTTCGGTTTGGCCTTGAAAATATACCGCCATTTACAAATATTCTCAGTGTTGGTTGAAAGTTCGTCGGGTGTGAGGCAGGTATTTTTATCATGCGATGTTCTGTAGTGTTGGCCTATTGAAGTACTTTTAATTTCATTGATACAATTTTAATTTTTATTTAATGTGTACTTGAAGGATTTCCTTAACATGTGTATTTCATCAAGATTTACTGCAGCATTTTCAAGTTGTTATTCATCTACAATTTCATTTACCAGGGAGTTTTTATAGTCTACACAAGTCTAATCCATGATTGTTTTGTTGAAGTATATATTTGGCTTGTGTCTGACACTAGTTAAAATGTGGGTATGTCAAGTCACAAGTGGAATTTTGGATGCGAAGAATGAATATGATGTCGTGATGTTGCAAGAATTTTCTTTCAAAATCTCATTTAGCTTAGACTATCGTTGTAGGTCTACGCCCCGAGGCTGGTCAATGTAATTCGTAACATTTGCTGATACCGTTAATTTTTTTGATAATGGGAATGAAAATGTCATGTTACTTAGACTTTCAAAATTTTAAGAGTAAGCTGGCTTGAGTTAGCAAAATTGTCTTGATTAGTCTATTGGTTTTTAGGTTGTGGTAGCATTTCAAGCATTTTACTCAATAATTAATCTCAATTCAAGGCTTATATAGTCCTCTGTTTAAATTAATTGTTCAGCAAATTTGATATTCCCATCCAAATAAATTAAAAGGCAGAGGTTAAGAGACCATCGTCCTAGCTCATGATCCTGCATGATTAGCATGTCAGATAGACTAAACTGTTTTATTTCAGAGATGTTGAATTCAACAACTCAGCGTTCATATGTAAAGGACATTCAACAACTCTACCGGACGATTGAGACATCGACAGACGGCCAAGCTTCCATACTCTCAGTCAATGAAATGTCAGTGATGATCTCGTTGCATCCCAAATCTGGTTATAATGCTCACGCTGCCTTCACTGTGAAAGTGAGTGCTTGTCAGGCAATTATTGAAAAGCCTACAAAGTGATTTAAAACGTGGCAAATGCCTAATAAATAATCCACGAAAATTCTCGAAATAATATTTCTTCTTAATTAGTAATATATAGCTTCAGCCATGTGTTGAAGCAGGCGAATGATTGAAAAAAATGCCAGTTTTGATAAATGCTTATCGTGTAAGTGATATATTCGAGTAGCAAAATTTATCCAATATGCGTTCATACATGACGATGGTATGACACGAAGTAGGCAAGAGAACACAGATGGTTAACATTTTGGTAGAACGATGATTCTCGTGTGGCCATTTTGATTGTCCGGTATAGGTTCAACTCATGCTATTTACGTTTACCAGACGACATCGTGATGTGCAAACGAAGCATTCCGCGTGGCTGTGTGAATGTGATTCCTGCTAAATGGTTTCTGTGGTTTGGGTTGGATATTGGAAACAGCATCTCCGAAATAGCTAGAATAGATGCAGCCATTTTAAGGTCTTCGAAAAATATGCAGATTATCCGCGTAGTGAATGACGAGACCTGGTAGTTATATTAGGGCTTGGGACTTTAACCAAACACGTCAACGGTTTTGTGGTTTTGGGTGACGACGTTACCTTCGGCTGTTTGATAATGCATATTGTAGATAAAGTGTCCCGTGTCTTATCCAAGGAGTGGTCCAGAAGTGACATTCACCTCACCAATCTTCCACCCCAACATCGACAATGACTCGGGAGGCATTTGTCTAAATCTTCTCAATGAATGGCTCAGGTACGTCTTGCCTGTTTATTTGAGCTTGACTGCTTAACCACGAC